GGTAAGTTCGCCAAGTGGAATATTATTCAGCATTGCAAGTGAATGGAATCCTGCCACTTGTGACAGCAGAGATGAACCCGGAGGGCGTTACATTAAATGAAACAAACTAGGGACAAAGAGACTGATGCCACATGGCTTCACTCATAAGTGTCCTTTAAAAAAGCTGAAGTCATACGTGCAGAACGCAGAACGTTACCAGAGGCTGCAGGTACTTGTGACGTTGGTCAAAGGATACAAAATCAGTTATATGTTTCACAGTTTTATCTATCTTTCAAAACATCATGCTGCACATGATAAATATCTACAATTTTGCCTGTCAATTTAACAATGAACAGAAAAGAAAAATGAAAATTAGTCCAGGCAGCTATAGCAAGAAGATAATTCAATGCCGCCAGAACCAGCAGTAATTCTGTAATGTTTTCTTTCCTTGCAGCGTCTTTGATGCGAATTCAGTGCTGCCCCAAACCCAGGAGGGCAGGAACCTCGCTCCTGTTTCTTTCTTCCTTGGGTCTGGCTGCCTGGCTCCACCATGCTGAGGTCCAGTCACACACACCAGCAGCAAGGAAGAGAAGGCCCTGATTATCCAAGCGGCTGGAGGACCTCAGAAAGTGGAATTCAGGGTGATGGCATTAGGGTGAGGCGGATGTTTTGGAAGGAAGCTCTTTAAAGCATTTACGAACACTTGCAACTGCGTTTATGTCCCTCAGTCGCAAATGTAAGGATCTGACCCGAAATGATTTAAACAGACTTCAGTAGTGAAATAGGTGTGACTGCTGTCCCATTCCCAGACTGGGCACTAGGTGGCAGGCGAGGGAGACAGATCCAAACAGCACATCCCAAAGACCTGCCCTTGGCACTACAATCCACACAAGACTTACAGACCCGGGGAGATGGCCTTTCAAAAACAGAAATGGTAATATCTGCTTTAAGAGTTTAACAACCTAAAGGATATAACAGCACAATTTTCAAATATCCTAATTTAAATACACTCGGTATTCAAAAACAAAACAAAAAGCTCCCCCACAAAAATCCAACCAGAGAAATCTGAGTGGGTACGTGGGAAGAAACAATGTAAAAGTCTCAGCAAAGAAACAGAAGAAGAACCAAGTAGAAATGTTATAAATTTAACAAATTAACAGGTAAAACTTAAAAAGGACCTCAGTGGGTGTCCTCAATGACAGAATGGAGATGAGGGCGGAAAAGAGCTGATAAACTTACAAAATAGGTCAATACAAACGTTACAGTCTGGACAATCGATGAGAAAAATATGGGGAAAGGAAATAAATAGGACCATAGGAACCTGTAGGTCAGTAGCAGAAGGTCAAAGTGTTGTACCTTCTCCCTTCCAGAACAGTAGAAAAATGGAAAGTGCGAAAATATTTAAAGAAACGGCTGAAAGTTTCCTTTATTATTCAGTGTAACTTAGAATGCTGATGTGTTTCAAATCTTGATATTTTCAAGGTGGAAAACCCACTGGATCGTATCAACTGGTACAGAAAATACATTTGGAAGAATACTGCAAAACAGGAGTAGAGAAGGAATTTCTTCCAGCTGACCGAGCGCATCTACACGAGCCTGCAGCCCACGCTATACTTAATGGTGAAGACTGGACACGTTTCCGCTGTGATCAAGACCGAGGCAAACGCTTCCGTTCAACCTTTCCCTGGAACGCCTAGCCTTACTTAAGTGAAGAAAAATAAAAGTGTGCACCGTCTGGAGAGGAAGAACTAGAACTGTTCCTATTCGGAGACAGCATTATTATATATGCTGAAAATTCTAAGCAACACACACACACAGACACCTCTCAGAACAAATAAATTCAGCTCTAGCACAGTTTCAGGATACACTGACAAATACAAGTAAGTTATTTTCTACATAGAAGCAATCAAATAATGAAAGGTGAAAATTTAAAAATTCCATTTACTCATAAATACACATAAATCCAAAAAGACATATAGGATCTATATGCTACAGACTACAAAATGTTGATGAAAGAACTCAAAGAAAACTAAAACAGAAAGTATGGCTGTCCTTCACAGACTGACATACCGTAGGGCAGACTTACAGATTTAACATAATTCCAACCAAGATCTTAGCAGAGCATTTCATAGAGGTAAGGTCACCCTACAATTTATATGGAAAGACAAAGGAAGTAGAATAGTTGAAATGTTTTTGGAAAAGAATTACTTCAGAAGACTCATACTGCCCAATTTTAAGACTCACTACAGAGCTGTAGTAATCAGTATGGTTGCTATCGCTAAAGGAATAGCCATAAGGATCAATGGAACAGAACTAGTGTCCAGAAATAGAATTCCACGGATATGCTTGGCTGATCTTTAATAAATGGGCAGAAGACAATTTATATTTAAGAGAAAGGATATCTTTAAAAATGGTTATAGAATTATCACATATCCATATACATAAAAATGGACCTCAACCTACATCTCACACATTATATAAAAATCATTTCACATTGGGTCATAGGTCTAACTATGAAACATAAAAGTATAAAACTTTCAAAACAACATAATGAATGGAAGAATATCTATGAGCTGGAGTTACAAAGAGGTTCTTAGACACGCAGAGCGGAAGGTTGGATTGCATCAAAATTAAAACCTTCTGCTCTGCAAAAGGGATTGTTAAGAGAATGAAAAGTCAAGCACACAGTAGGAGAAAGTATTTGTAAACCATGTATCTGACAAAGGATTTATACTCAGTATACAGAAAGAACTCTCAAAATACAAGAAACCAATTTATAAACGGGCAACAAGTCTGAACAGATGTTTCACAAGAGAGAATATGCAGATGAAAAGAATAACATGAAAAAACTTCAACACCATTAGTCCTTAGGGAAAAAAATTATAGTCACAAAGAAACATTACTATACACCTATTAAAATGGCTAAAATAAAAACAGAAATGAAGAAATACCAAGTGCTGGTAAGGATGTGAAGCAACTGGATCTCTCACACCTTGCTGGTGGAAATGCTAAATGGTGCAGCTGCTCCAGAAAACAGGTTTGGCTATTTCTTATACAGATAAACATACAGACACTAGAGGCACCCACATTCCCACTGTAGGCATTTACCCTAGGAAAATTAACTCTATATTCACAAAAACCCTCTTCTTAAATACTTAGGGACATGCTAGTTATAACTACCAAAAATAGAATATAACTGAAATGCCTTTCAATAGATGAATCGATAAACACACCATGGTCCATTTCTACAATGGACTATACTTCAAACATAAAAAGAACCGAACTATTGAGATACCATTTGGAAAGATCTCACAAGAGTTGTGCTTGGTGAAAGATCCTATTTTTCAAAGACGAGGCTCTGAATGACTTCACTTGTACGATAATCTCGAACTCATGAAAGATTACAGAGCCGCGGTCTTCTGCGAGCATGGACGGATGCAGGGCTCACTAGGGAAGACAGGAGGAAGTGCTGGAGGCGGTGAAGCGGCGCTGCGTCCTGAAAGTGCTGGCAATCACACCCGCGCCCACAGGTGTTCAAATCCACTGAGAGGCACACAGAAGGCTAGTTTTTAATTTACCTTCATTTAAAAACTAAAAGGAAAAGTAGAAAGAGGTAACTCCTGCCTCCTGTTCAAGGCTGTCTCCAGCCTACTAGCAACGCGAGCACTAGTTACATCTTCCACAGCACGTACGATCCGGTCCACTACATCTTGCGAATGGATCTGCTCCCCGTTGCCCGCACCACCAGGCATTTTATACCACAGCTTCCAACACGGACACTCACTCTGCACAGTGGGTTAGGCTCAATGTGCGGGGAAAAACATCACTAAAGCTCATCTGCTTACATCTCATAGCTGACCAGTGGCTGGGTCTGGACTTGGACTCACCCGCCCCCGTTGCCAACCTCCTCCCACACCTGCTTCCCTGCACGGCTGTCGTTTAAATGAACAAGCTGTGGAAGAGGCAGCAGAAGGTTACACAACACAGAGTGGGCAATAAGGATTGGATTTTGATTCACATACACCTCAGCCTTTCTAAGCTTATTTTAATCTAAACCCTGAATTTAGATAAAATTATAAAAGGTTGAGAGAAATTTAAGAAACCGTGCTATTGTCATCTCATAATCTTCCGATAGGTGGCTTTTAATTACCAATAGTACTAAATGGTTACCTCCATTTCTAAAAATGTATAGTCATCTGTATTTTATTCTAAGGGTCTTAAAGAACTGTTGTGGCTTACGATACTTGACTAAGTGTTCAAGGCTACAAACTGCAGTTTATACATCTGCAGCAAATAGTAAGCATTAAAGCAATTCTCTCCTCTTACACATCTGTCTTGTTAACCGATTCTTCTCCTTTTCCTCATTCCTACAGTATCAGTGTGAATTAAAAGTCAAAACTGTACAGTGTAAATCCATTCTAGAGACAGAAACTGGAGTTCAATTTTTAATCTATTGATTATAGCCAAATACCTGAAAATATCATATATCAATGATACACAAATGATCTATCCACATGAAAAGACTGTAACGGAAGATAAATTCTGATTTCCTGCATGTGAATTATTTCCAACTACTCTGTGAACTACCAGGTAGTTTACTTTACCAGTAATACTGGCCTAAACATTTTTGTCTCAGCTAAGACACAGATAAGAAGCTAAGGTTTCCAATAAAAGTATTTTCTTGCATATTCTAGAATTACTACTGTAGTCAACATACTTTCTGTAAAAAAAGTTATTACTGATACATTTTGACTCAATACTGATAAGAATTAATGAGGCAAAAATCTTTTTTGTGCCATATGCATTTTTACTGTAGAGTTGGTTGATCTATTGCATATCCAAATACTAACAAAAATAATTTCATCACCTATGTCAACACTTCCTTTTGCACCAAAAAAGGCTACATATTGTCCAAGCGACACCTCTGTCAAGAAACAGGAATCTGCTTATGTTCTGTCACTGGTTGGCCGGTGCCCAGAACCAAGAGGGTCGGTGGGTAGGGGATGAGAAGGTCAGCTTACCTTCCAGCAGGTCTCTGGCCAGACCAGGTTCTGCCCCCGTGGACCGAACAAAGTCTGACAGGACTGCGTCCATATCAAGCGTCATAGGATCATGTAGAAGTGCTGCCCAGCACTCAGCTGAGGTGGGGTTTGGAAGCAGGCTAGAAACCATCCATCTGCAGGGAAACGGAGAAGAGCGTCTCACCGTGTTCTGGAGACCCGGGGAGATCAGTGGCTGCCGCCACCGGCTGGGGTATAGAGCTGAACCGGTTTGGGACAACTGCCTTGCTCTTCATGTAAGCTAGTATGCTATAAAGCCAAACTAAAGTATCACTCTGCGCACACCATAGAAGACAAGGGGTCTGAACGCTTGGGTCCTCCCACATTCACACGCTGAGCCCGAAGCTGCAGGTGATGCCTCCAAAGGTGGGGCCCCTTGGAGGGGACCCTGTCACGAGGTGGAGGCCCTGTGATGGGATCACGGACTTACAGAAGAGGCTCCGCCTCCCGCCACCGAGGACACTGCGGAGAGGCACCAGCTCTGCACACGAAGAGCACCCTGATCAGATGGCAAACGTGCCAATGCCTTGACTTTGGACTTTCTAATCTCCAGCACGTGAGAGATGTACTGTTGTTTTTAAGCCTCCTAGTTTGTTATAGCGGTCTTAACAGACCAAGAATAGAGACTGTCACTAACACCAGTGCTTCCGGTCCCGACATTCTATCCATTTTAGTAACAACTGGTAGGGGAAATAGAACCTAGTACATGTAGAGAGATTAACTTGGGATAACAGATTTCTTAGTCTTTTCTGAGTAACACAGACACGTGACACTTCCATGGTGTATCTGTGTCACGCACTACACCCAGCGACATGCACATCCACGTGTCTCCCACCCACTCCTCTAACTCTCTTGCACACCTGGCAGTAGGAGAGACTCCGGGTTTGTCGGTCGTTGGCTGGAATACCAAACTTGGCAAAGAAGCCTGCCAAAGAAGAAGCCTTGCCAAAGAAGAAGTTTTTATCCCTCTAAAAACTGTCATATTCAGAGTAATAACCCAACCATATCCATAAGGAAGACAGATTCCTAATCAGAATGACCCCAGTCAGTGGGTACAATGGACCCAACGGTGACTGCAGCAGCCAGCTGCAGGGGAGAAGCAACTGTTAGCTCACACACAAGAGAGACTCACAATGGTGAAACAATTTGGGGGGCTGCTGGTGGGTTTCAGTCCTGGTTGGAAAAAAGCAAACACATCCAGAATTGTGTTGATAAAGGGTCAGCTAACTGTGGCCTGTAGCCAAATGTGGTCTACTGCCTGCTTTTATTTATTTATTTATTTATTTATTTATTTTTGGTCTTTTTGAGACAAGGTCTCACTACGCAGTTCAGGCTGGCCTTGAGCTCTCTTTGTAGCCCAGGCTGGTCTCGAGATTGCAACAATCCTCCTGCCTCAGCCTCCTGAGTGCTGGGATTACAGGCGTGTGCCACCACCCCTGGCTACTGCCTGCTTTTATAAGTAAAGTTGTATTGGAACATTGCCACATTCCTTCATTTACATAATGCCTATGCCTGCCTTAACTATGCTGAGTTGAATAGTTAGATAGTGTAGGACCACAAAGCTGAAAGTATTTATTATTTGGCCCTTTACAGAAAAGTTTGCTTCCCCCAGGACAGATGATGGAGGGTTTTACACAGCAAGCCCACAATTACTTGTACACCCAGTGGGATGAGTGTAATTCTGCTGCTCTCGATCCTTCACACGTTCTTCTCTGGTGACTTTTGCGATGGCTGTGCTCAGTGGGTTGGTTTTGTGGAGCCACTGGGGCTCGACAGCCAGGCACACTGGCCTAGCATGACTGGCTGTGACCTGGTGTTTCCCCCTCTGGGCCCACCTGTGCCTCACATGCTCCTACTTGGGTGTAATTTTTGAAAAATTAAGAAAATTATTTGACCTGATGTATATGGTACCAATTAAGAAAATGCCTCCTTCCTTCTCTCCATGAACCAGCGCCTCAGCCAGGAGAGTCTCTTCTTTTGTCACTGCCACCTAGGAGACAAACCAGAGAACAAGGGCGCGTTAGTCTCCTTACCTGGGAAGGACATGACTCTGCCTCCTGTTGCAGGAGGCCATCGCTGGGGTGAGGCCCGCTGCTCTCCAGGGAGACACAGGCACTGGCTGGCCAGTGGCCACCAGCTCCCACCCTGGAGGCCTCGCCTCGCGAAGAAGGGAGGCCTCCACACTCCTCACTTAGGTGAGCGCTTCCATGCCCATGAGTACCACTTTAACAATGCATGGAGCTTTAAACCTTTCCAGTAAGTACTATTACACTTGACCAGTGCATGTGTGCATGAAATCTGTCACATTAACTGTTCTAAGTGCACAGTGCAGCAGCATTAAGTGCATTCACACCATGCTGCAGCCATCGCCACTGTCCATGTCAGAATGCCTACATCTCCCCAAACCGACACCCTGCACCTATTAAACACGAAGTCTCCGTTCCTCTTCCCCGAGTCCCTGGCAACTCTATTTCCTGACTCCAGGAATTTAACCTCTCTCAGGACCTCATGGAGGCAGAGTCACACAGTGCACATCAGTCCTTTTATGACTGGGTTATTTCACTTAGCGCAGTGACCTCCAGATGTGTGCATGCCGTAGCCTGTGTCAGGATGAGCTTCTTTCAAAGGCTGGGTAATGCGTGTGAGCATTCTCCACCTTTCTCCTGTCCACGCACCCGCCAATGGGAACCGTGTGAGCTCAGCATCTTTACACCTACAGCAGGTCGCCATTCTGTGAAGCTCACAGGGTTTACTGTGGAGGGAGTGAAGATCTGTGCTCATATCTCCTCCTCTGCGTCTCTTCCTTAGTGTAATTCAGATGGAGTGAAGGGTGGGCTCCAAATGCACGCTTTGGGGTAGCAAGAAGTTACTGAGCACATCTGCTTCATGACTGATTCCTTCGTTTTTTTATTTTATGGAAAAAAGGTAAAACAAAATTTCATAACAAAATAATAGGAGAATAACAGTAGTTAATAAATTACATGGTGTTATCTTTAAAGTAGTTGCTCATGGTGCAAGATACAGGCATAAAAATTTCTCCAATCAGTATCAGTACAAACTTTGCTTTTTAGTGAACTAAGAGACACTAATGGTATAATTGACTTGCACTTTTTCCCTACTGTCTTTTCCCCTTTCACCCACCCTAGTTCATTTTTCCTTTTGAGCAATTTCTTCCCATTTCACAATATCTATTGTATATGTTAGAACTTATTGACTCTCTCAGTTTCTCACACCAGGGAGACAACATGAGTTTTACACAGGTGAGTCTGATTTATTTCACTTATGAATATGGGCTCAAGTTGCACCTGTTTACCTATAAAAGTCTCAAGTTTATCCTTCTTTATAGCTAAGTAGTACTCCATTGTATAAAAAGACCACATCTTTTTATCCATTCCTCGGTTGATGGGCATTTGGGTTGTTTCCAAAACTTAGCTATTATAAATTGTGCCGCTATAAACACGGGTGCACCTGTATCGCTATGGTATGATATTGTAAATTCTTCTGGAAAAATACTCAGAAGGGGATCAGCTGGGTAGAATGAGTCCTCCAGTCTTAGCTTTTTGAAGAATCTCCACAGTGATTTCCACAATGGTTGTACCAGTCTACACTCCCACCAACACTGCAGTAGGGTCCCATTTTCCCCACAGCCCCTGCAGCATGTGTTATTGGCTGATTTCTTGCTGACAGCCATTCTTTCTGGGGTGAGATGGAAGCTCAGTGTTGTTTTAATTTGCATCTCTCGAATGACCAATGATGTTGAACTTTTTCATATATTTATTTTCCATTTGTATTTCTTCATCTGAGAAGTGTGTATTCATCTCAGATGCCCATTTTTGGATTGGATCTTTGCATTTGGGGGATCTGATTTTTTCAGTTCTTTAAATGTTCTGGATAGAAGTCCTTTGTCAGAGGGACAATGGGCTAAAACTCTTCCCCAGTCTGTGGCCGTCTTTTCACTTGGTTGGTGATTTCTTTTGCTGTATGAAAGTTCAAGACTGATTTCTTACATACACCACTGCATCGCAACACCAAGACCTCACGCTAGTGGTGATGACACAGGAGGAGCTGGGCCCACGAGGCCCCTGGGTCCCCACCACACTGTCCTCGCTCTACTGCCCCGTGCCCCACTTCGAAGAGCACTACTGTGCCTTTTGCTCCACGTGGCTCTTTCTCGCGGTGGGTCCTGGCCATAGGCTCTGCTTTTCTGTACCTTGCTGTGCACCCTGGAACCTGGACAGAACATCTCTGAGGGTCTTAACATCTGCCCTGGGAGAGTGGAGTGTCCAGCTGTTTTTACTGTGACTTTGCTTAGGAGAGGTTCACCATGTGGGGTCAGGAAATGAGGTTTTAGCCTCAGTCCCCTGGGGCTGGAATGGCTCTGCCACTTACTGTCCATGTGACCTCAGGCATGCTGCTTCACCTCTGTGCCTCAGTTTCCCAATCAGTAGAAAAAGAATAATATTACCCCATCTTACTATGGGATTTTAAGGAATATTTAAGATGCCAAAATGCACTGGCCAAGGTTACATGGTCAATAAACGAACTATCCCTGAATTCTTGACAGGGACCCTGAGGCCACCCTCCCCTTTCTAGGTGTCTAGTGCGCACCAGAACGTTTCTGGCAGAAAGAAGGGGTACGTCATGGACTGTGGCTTGGTCTCACGGAGGGCCCATGTTGGATGGGGCTCCTGCCTTCAATACCATCTTCTTTCCCATTCCCAGGCAGCTGATTTCACTCATCGCTCAAACTGTTCTGGTTAGGCCTCCTTTGTGGGGATTCTGTGGGAACAGAGCCCTGCTGGGCTCCTCCAGCAGTTTCTGAGCAGGGAAGGACAGATACACCCATAGATGCAGGGCTCTGAGACTGACTGCTGTGTTTGGTTTCTCTTTTTTTTTTTTTTTGTGGTACCTGGAATCGAACTCACGACCTTGCGCTTGCCAGGCAGGCGCTGTGCCGCTGAGCTATATCCCCGGCGACTGCTGCACTGGGGAGACCATTCAGTGCTGGGAATTGGTCTACCCGGGGAAAGCAAAACTGCAGGACAGAGATTTAGCAGGACAGTGACAAAAACGTCCTCAGGATCTATTGTTCTTTAGCTTCTGTTTCCGTGGTGCCCAAATAAAACGTGACTGCAGACTATTCATCCACAGGTGTTGCAGCTGGAGCCAGGGAGGTGATAACATGGGACTGGGGAGGCCGACACTAGTGCTCAGTGGTGGAGGTTCGTGTTCCGGCCCCTGGTGCCCAACAGAACAAGAGCAGAGGAGGAGAAGCACCTGGAGGCAGCTCTCCGGCCCAGGGCAGCAGGCAGGGGGGCCAACACCTTGCGCGTGAGATCTCTGCTAACTTGGAGCGGCTGGTGCCCTGAGGTGGAATCTGCTTCATCCCCCTTTCCCGTGTCCAGATTTCACAATGCCTGGCACACCGCAGTGTCCGGATGAAGGGGCAGCGAGGGAGGCTACGGGTGCAAAACGCACCGGGTCGCGAAGCAGTGAAAAGATTTGGTATTTTCGTGCTATTTGTAAAAAGGTGCACGCAAATGCGTCATGACGGACAAACTGCCCGTGTTTGCACCTGAGTAGTGAGTGTGAGGACAGCCCTGGCTTCCAGCAGTGCAGCGAGGGTAAAGCAGAATAACTCCGCAAGAGCATATAGTACTCGTGCTACTGTTAACATAGACTTAAACTGATTAAACACATGTATTTCTGGTACTGAGGCTCTTCACTCTGCCGCCCGTGTACACACGCATCCCTACTGTGCAGGATAAAATAGGAAGAGGGCGGGTGCGGTTTAACCTTGTCCCGCCTGGGGAGAAAGCCCGGGGGGTCCAGGGCTCACAGGTGCACAGACTCCATCTGCGGGTTAACTGGACAGATGTCAACATTTCTCTTTCCAAGAATCGGCTGCGTCTATCCACGTGACCTGGGGCAAAGTTTTGTGGACGCGCATCAGCAAAATACAGCCTCCAGGGCATTGTCGTAGTTCAGAGAGCATCGAGAGACCTTCTTGAAGAGGCACGTGTTCTGGAAGTTTGGCTTTGCCATGCATATTCATATGCACAGAGCACATGATCATTTTCAAATATGCCCACCTGTATCACTGCACTGACCCCCCGTGACACAAGCTAGAGAAAGACGGGTCTGGGGGTCGTTCTGGCTGCAACAAAGCAATTACTCTAGGAAATTCACCTCAAAACTCCTGAGTGAGAAGGAGAGTGCAGACAACAACGCAGGCAGAGGAAGAAGGGCGCCATTCACTTCTGTGGGTCGAGGGAAACCAAGCAAAATCTGAGCCTGCAGCATTCTACTGAAACAGCTCAGAAAGCACTGCCGGAAAAACAAACAAAAGCAACAATAGGAACAGCTGGCTTGGGGATTGCAGGTGACAGGGCCACTTGGCTGCTGTCCTCAAACCCCTGGCTTCGTGTCCTTATTGTGGCACTGTGACAAAGCAAGGGTGGGCTGCTCTGGGCTTGCCACCTCGACCAAGGCACAGCGGGAGGCACCGATGTGCTGCCACAGGGCAGGGAGCACATCTGCTGACCCAGGCGCCATGACTGGGCCCCACGCTGGATCTTAGGGTGTGGGTGGGCACCGGGTGGCTTCCTTTAGAAGGGGAAGTGGAGCACCAAAAGTCATACATGTCGTCTCAGTGTCCAATCTTTCACTCTTGAGCTTAGACTTTTAGACCAAGACAGGACAGAATAAAACAACGGTATATATTTAAAAAACTTTTTCTCTCCAATGGAAAAGTAGATGAAGAATAGGATAAATGCTAATGGACACATTACTCGCGGTAAAAATGGAAATTGTTAACTTTCAGCCAATCTTATTTCTTCTATACCTCCAACTACTTCCCCCCTCCCACATTACTTTAAACAAATTCCAGACAGGATGTGTTATGAAGAGAGCGTGAAAATATTTTACCCACTTCGATAAATAAACTGCAATATATATAAAAAAGATGCACATGTTGAAACTCCCCGTGAT